ATAAGACAATGAATATAAAACAGATTATAATTAATTATATAATTATAATTAATTATAATTAAATTAATAGAAGTTACATACTAAACTTTTTCTATTTAGTATTGTTTCATAAATCTTTTTTATTTGTTAAAAAGCGTCAAAACTCACTATTGATAAGGAATTTGACGTTTGAAATTGACCGTCAATCTTGCCAAATTAATTTCAAAGTCACAGGTCACTTTGATAAAAAAATCTTGTGTGTTGTTTTTTTTTCATATTTATTTATTTATGTATTATATCGGGTGATTTAATCTCTAGAAAACCATATTTCAAGCGTTTTTACGACTTTTAGTAAATTGACTATTTTTACGATTTTACTACCGCTGACTTTTGAAATCAAAAACTCAAAAAATTCTTAATTTTTTAAACTTGACCAAATAACGTTTTATGCATTTTTTGAGTCTTTAGGACCTCTAGAAATGTAAAAAACGTTATATGGATCAATTATAAAGTAAAATTTTTTTTGGATGTTTGTCAAGATTTTGGTCGATTTTTGGTACCCGGAGCGGTCTATTTCCAATAACTCCGGACTTATTAGAGATAACCTCTTATATTTGGTACCGCTGAAAAGAGAATTTAATTTTCTATCATATGTAAAAAAGATCGGTGCTTTACGATGAATAGTTATCGAGAAAATTTCTGATAAAGTCAAAAATATGAAAAATATAAATCCGACTACAACTTCAAAACTGTTACGAATTTTGCAGTTTTCTTGACACCAATCGATTCCCCGGAACATTTTACATAGGTTTACGTCAAAATGTTATGTCATTGAGACACAGTTTTGCCGTAATTTACAAAATAAAAAAACGAAAAAATTGTTAAAACTAGTGTTTTTGAACATGTCTCAGATTCAATTTAAACCTATCTTATCCGATAGATTTTGACGCGCTAATTACGAATTTCCCAATTATTTTGCGCTATCTCTTTTAGTTTCGCCGTAATCGGCGTTTAAAAATTCAAATTTTTTTGCGAGATATCGACTTGGCWTTGGCCTCAATCGATAGATTTTCTTACGCTGATTACGATGGAATTAAATTCTTTGCTCTAAGTCTAATAGTTTGGCCGTAATCGCCGTTCAAAAAGTGAAAATTGTCAAAATTGTGAAACTTTAAATGCGTTTTTTGACGAAACTATAGGACTTAGAYCAAAAAGCTAAAAACCATTAAAATTAGCTTAAAATTATCTATTTACTGGCGCAAACCGGAAGTCGCTCCGGGTTATGGTTCCGGGTACAGAGCCATTTT